CCAACGTGGTCTCTTCCCTCACTCTGCAAACTGCAGACCATCTTGACAGTTAAATCATGACAGCGGTTCATGAGGTGAGGAAAGAGCACAGAAAGTCTGCCAACTTAAAAACCACAAGGCTTGTGTCTGTCTTCCAGAGCTGCTTTGAGGAGAGACAAGTCTGTAATGTGCAATATGATAAATGCTGCTCCAAGCAAATTAACATTAATAACAATACTTGTAAAGTTTTCACAACAGAAAAGTATAATTACATATCTAAAGGCCAGAAATGGTGTAATCTGAGAAAATAAATCACTAAAGGAAAATTGCAATCCTTTACTGCTTTTAGAAAAGTTGCTCTCACTCCTATCAAAACAAAGGTGAAGTTCTAACCTGACAACGACAAACTTTTATGCTCCAAATGAAAGGGGAGGCTGAACTAATGCGTTTTCACTTGAGCTTCACCTACATGAGTCTTGATTTATGTTAATAGCAGAAGTTTAGATTGTGGAGATGAAACCAAATCCCCCAAAAATCAATGTTGGGAGAGTTTGCTCTTCACTTCAATGCCAAACACAACAGTCCCATGATGACATTTGGGGGAAATCAAGGTTCAGTTTTAGCTGCAGTGAAATTAGCCTTACAGTTCTGAGTCTCTGCTGCTCTTTCAGTTACTTCCTACACTGCTGTCTCCTCTAATGTTGATTTAAAGTTAGAAAGTTCATAAGGTGATGATTACTGGAGAACAAATCCTAGGAAAGAAGAAAAAAAGTCACATTATGTCAGAATTAAGTGGTTCCAGATGTGGCTTGTGACAGGTTTTTGTTTGTTTTTTGTTTTTGTGTTTTTCATAAAAAGTAGGCAGTTCCGTTTTCTTCTTTCATGGTGGATTTAATTTAAACCTCCAACCAATAATAAAATTAGATTAAGAGTCTACAGCCACACCAGTGGCTCTGTGAGGCTATTCTTCACAGCTTTGAACTAAATGCTTATGTCAGCATGGCAACATGCCCACAGTAACAATGCTAACAGGCTGATGTTTAGCAGGTATTATGTGTGCCATGTTAAACATTTTAGTTAAGCGTGTTTACATGCTAACAAATGAGAATTAGCCCTAAAAACAAAGCACCAGAAGCATCCGGCTCTGCTCCGCGGAGAGTATGCGGTGGTCAATTTTTGATGGACGCACCAAGTAGCACGGAGCAGATTGCATTGGCAGGAAGTCAGGCACAGAAACAGCATAGAGAATCTGGACTAAGACAAGTTAACGATGTCGGACAGGCAAGATGCTCTGAAGACGCTTTACTTCTGAAACGCTCCCGGTGGGATTTGAAGATATGGGGATGACAGAGCCAAACTGCGTCGCTTGTACACTGTCATGAAGCCGTGCCCGGTGGGATTTTGGCATTTTCTTGGGAGGATTCATTCACCATGAGTAGCATCTTATACGCTTTCATGTTTGAGCCTGTATGCATGAATAGGGTTCAAAACTCAATGTCTTTTTCAGCTATTGTGGATGCCTCTTCTACTGTATAATGGATTTCTGTCTGCAAGCATCTCCATGAATCCATCAGGCTTCACAAACTGGTTATATACAGGAAATCTGGGTCAAGTCTTGTTCAAATCAGTGTTCTGGCAGCTCTTCGGTCACCTTAGTCAGAAGCAGAATTATAAACAGGCGGATTCATTACAGGGTTAACTAGTCTTTCCCTCACCTGTTTCCTCCTCTGGCATTAGGGGTTTCTGTGGTTTTTGGCCTACTTTTCGAATCAAACCACACAGCTTTGATATTCCTCTTTTGCTCTAGTCCGTAAAGATCCTGTTTTTCATAGAACAGTCTTGCCTCAGGGTAAAAGGCTTATTCTGTGCCAGTCGATGTCTGGATGGTATTGTACACTCCATCCGGCTGGGCTGTATTTGAAGGGCCTCGTGCCAAAACAGGACATCCATCTTCCAGCGGAAAAACTGAATCCTACTCTTGTAAATTCCTTAGTTATTCTTGTAAATGCTTCAGTTAAAGTGTAAGGTTTCCTGTTTAAACCTTTATTTATTAGAGCAAGACTAGCTGAGGATGTATTTTTTTAAGCAGAACCCTGCTTAAAAAAACACATCTCCAAGATTTCACACCTGAGACCTACAGAGTGTAACTACAAGTTCATTAGTTGAATTAGAAGAGTTTTCAGCTTAGTCCTAACATAAGTTTGAACTGGAGCTAATAGGGTAAAATGGTATGTAACAAACATATCAGCTAAGTCTTTTGTCTAACTAACTAACGTTGTGTTTCTTGGTATAAGCGAAGTTACCAGATACTTTTCAAGTCATTCATTGTAGAGATCCCCACCCACCTTTCCACCTTTCTTTAGCAACAGGAACCTTGTTGTTTCTGGAGTGTTTTCTTCGGGGCCAAACTTCCCAGTGCGCATCCACCCAGGGGAAATGTCCTTTCTCTCCTGTCCACCTGGCAGATCTCTTATCTACTGCTGCTGCTGGAGCATTGGACTGATTCCAAGGCGCAGGGCTTTCGACTGCAGGGTTGAAGAACAGAAAAGAAAATACCTATTTCAGTCAACAGCATGCCAAGTGTGTGGGAATGACTGCAGAAAGGTGTTCAAAATAGCAAATGACAAGAGAGTCAGTTTAGGCGTACAGTATGAAGGAACTGTTAGAGGATTTCACTTACTAATTCAATTCTCTACATGAAGATGATGTAATTTTCAACAGTAGAAATATCTGAAGAGTGGACAGCACAGGTTAGCCAAGATTAGATCACTTTGTTAGATGTGTCTAACCAGATGTTTGCGCAATCTAACATGAATCCAAGCTGTCAGCTTGACTTGTTTTAACTTTCTATAAACTTAGCCTTCATTGGCTGTTGGTGTTGAATGAGCCTCCCATCAGTTTAAAGAAGGACATTTGGTGAAAGTCACTCAATAATCCTTGACTGAATATTTTCTCTTCTTTGTCATTCAGAGTGTTGTTTGTAGTTTTTTGTCTTTGACGATGTGGTGATTTGTAAAGAGAAAATCCATAATTTTTACATATAAAGGTCAGTTTAATCATCACTAAGTAGCATACTCCATGACAATTAATTGACCTTTTATATGTATACCACTCAACCTGTGAAAATGGTTGTATAATGTCTTTTCTGGCTTTGGGATGGTAATTTCCAAAGTCTGATAATTACCTTGATGAAGTCATCGGGGTTATCTTGAGACTCTTCAAATATTTGGCAATTGCATCATGGGAAATGTAGGATTTAATTTTTTTTTACTTTTACTATGGAATATAAGACAGGGTATCTCTGTTGCTTTGATTTTTTCTTTATGCACGTGACTAAATGACTGAAATATCCCTTTAATTCTACATGATTAATTATAGATTATTTACGTATATGACATATATCATACAGTCTTTATGTACACATAAAGTATATTGTGAGAATTTCCAAAAATGCATGCGATTATGTGTGCTACCTTAGTAAGGGTGGTTACAGTGACACAATTTTTTGAAGTGAACAAAACTAGCCAGAAAGACCGGAAGCCTTCAGACACATTCAAACATATAAACACATGTTGCACATATTCATACACACACTGACATAAGGAAATCACACCTGGAGACAGAGAGAGTAAAGAGAGTTGTGGCAGGATGTAGAGAACTGTACTTACCTGCTTCCTGTAGATGTAAACATACAGCATGTGTATGTCTCTTTGATTTTAAATCATAAGGGGACCCCTTTATGATTACCTGAACATTTGATGTATATCATAGAACACTCACACATTTTTTGAAATTAGAGCTCACTATGCAAATACAACGGAGTATTAGGGCCATACTAAGGGGGGGGATTGCGAGAATAAAGTCATAATATTAGGTCTACGAGTATAAAGTCGTAACATTAGGAGAATAAAGTC